TTTTTTTTTTTACACCACTGATGTAAATGAAGTAATATGGGATATTGATGCTTCTAAAATAGGGACCGTAGTCTAACAAATGGACATTTCTATATGTGGGAAGCACTTAAATTAAACCCTGAAATTTCACTGAAATAAAGTAAAAACAATCAATAACATTTTAAATGTATCAAGTGATAACAAAATCAATCAGTCCAAGTTTACAATAGTCTACAACAAAACAGTTAAAATAATGAACAAAAAGACAGTACATGTGATGAAAAAAACCTAACTTTTGAGTTTTAATAATAACATCCCGAGTCTATTAAAAAGAAATCCACGAGGCTAGAACATGAATTAAAAATAAACCTATTTCATATTTCTTTAGGCTAAAGAATTTAGGAGAATTTATCATTTCTGAGCTGGTAGGTATTCTTGTTGATATAGAAAGTGAAAAAGGGCTGAGCATAAGGCAACACTAGGTAAGGTACCGGCAGTAACCTTGACATTTAAACTTTACAAGTTAAGTGTAACTCAACAGTACAAGTAAAGCTGTCGTCAGAGCAAAAACATTTTAGCATCAAATGAAAATTTAAAATAAAAAGGCAAAAGTAGGCCTATTAACTTCACTTGTGTAGCAATGCAAATGTCTTTCTAAGCTCCATTCCATCAGAACTGTTAAAATGCCCTTCTTAGATTATTCTGACAAAAGTCAACAAGAATATGAAGCTTCAAGAGTTCAATATCAGATGACAATACATATTTCTGAAATCCCATCAAGAAATATACACCACCTATGCAAACACACAACAAGGAATAATATACTTTTGTCCAGCCTGTTCCTGGAAAAAGTTGCAACAACCAGCTAAAACTCAATCAATGTAAGTTTTAGATGGTTTCCTTTTTCAGTTAGTGTAGTCCGAATGAGAAAACCGTGTGCCTATATTTATTAAGCTGCTAAATGTTGACTGTTATTAATCACCCTTTTGTCGATAAGCGGATTTCGAGAGGTATGTAGTAAAGAAGAATTGTGCAAATAAAACAAAGTATGTAAAGTACATTACTGAGGAGTACAACAAGTTTTCATAGCTTTGTTGACAAAATTCACCTCTGCCTTTAATTTTGTAAATCCAGATGTTGATCAGCACTCCAATGATCATCTGTGTTAACTGTAATGATGTTATAACCATGTTCACAAATTTAGGGAAGCGAAACTGTAGGGCCCTTAGAGCATAGTATGAATACATAAATCCATGTACTGTGTAGTTCATCACCATAAACCATCTTCCTGGTGCAGTGTGATCCGTGTAGCTATACCATACATAAATCAAAACTGTGATATGGTGGTACCAATGCAGAAATATAAGAGGTTGCTTTCTTAAAACGATGAAGACAGTGTCACCAAGTTCATAGACTTTGGACACAGTGAACAAAAAAGACCAAAAACTCGTGACCCCCTTGAAATACGTTGGAACACAAACAGAATATTGCAAACCATGGTTTGACAACACAGAAATCAGTTCAGGCCATGTCCTAATTGCACCTGCTATGCTGAATATAGCTAAAATTCCACTCCATAGCGCTAAAAATGGACGTAATTCATACTTCGGACGTCTTTTCATCAGAAATTGTCCCCCGAAAACAACGAGAACATAGACTGCTGAGTACACGAAACTGTCTGTCCATCTTTCCTGCATATAATTCAGAAAATTTCGTTCGTGCCATTCTTTTTCAAATTGAAACACAATGCTGTAATTGTGTTCTCCGGGTTCCATAATTCGAACCACGTGCCCCGAGGAATACGTCGGAAGATATGGAATTGAAATTAGGGTTATATTGATGCCAATGTCCACAGCAAAGTCCTGACATGAGTTAATCACGGAAGTGCCGACGCTAAAATAATGTCGGTATGGTGATGTTAGTAAACCGATTGGTCGTTCCGATGAACTGAGTGCTGATAGCCAATGAAATTTACTGTAACAAACTGGTTTAGCATGGCGACCTAGACAACGGGCGTGGAATGAGGATGCCACATTGGTTCATTTAACAATATAATACTTGAAACTAACCAAATGCTTTCATCATCACTTAATTGAAATGTGTAGTAATTATATAATTTTAAAAAATTGATCAGATTAAATTCTTATATAGTTTAGCCTTATTTTAAGAACACTGTTCTGTATGACAATGGCAATTTAATTTTACGCAAGACGAATATTATATGCTAAATAAGTTCGATGAAATTAATTTTAAAAGATGTAAAAATTATAAATTTTCAAATATAAAAAGTAATTTTGACAGTTTTGCATAAAATAATAATTTATAAAAATTGAGAACACACATATAAATTACCATTTTTTAAGTCAGAACAAAGACTTAATGCTATAATAAGCTATTCCTGTTGATCTTAGTAGAAAACATGGATAAATACTTCTTTCTATAACACAATGAAATGATTATTAAAAATCAACTATTTAGTTAATAAAAATCAAAGAAAATATATTTGGCCACATTTCTTGACAAAAATATATTATTATAATAATACTATATTCATTAACTCTTTAAACAAATGAAGTAAAATTAAAGGAAGAGTGTTTTAAAAAACAAAAATCAGTAATGAAATAAACACTCTTATTATGGAGGGAAACATTTAAACAATAAGTATACACATTTATGAGAGCAGCTAGAATAAAAGTGAATTGAACTTCAGATTTTTCCATTATTGTTTTTTATAAAATCAATGAATAGCAACTCTTAAATAAAAATTAGCAAAACAGGAAGTCGATGCTGTTACTGTTGTTATAAATGTCGAAGAGGGCAATCTAACTAGAATAAATATAGGCCACTATTATGGAGCATTTTGTTACTAACTGAACATGTTATTATCATTTAAATAACGGAAGATAAGCCTCCAGAACATGGGTAGTGTTTTGTGGAAATGTTTAGCATTATGGTTGAATTCTGAATGAACGAAGTCCAAAAAGTTAATTAAAATTAATTTTATTTATTTATTATTTATTTATATTTATTTACTCATTTAGTTATTACAGTACAATTGAATATTGAGTAAATTCAGAGAAAGCGGCCCGCGTTTATTTCCATGCGCGCACTTTTACGTCTTAAATCGATCCCTATGCCTAACTTGAACCCTAAATCGATCCCTATGCCTAACCCGAACCCTAAATCTATCCCTATACTAAGCCTAACCCGAACCCTAAATCTATCCCTAAGTCCTAAGCCTAACCCGAACGCTAAATCGATCCCTATGTCTAACCTTAACAAAGTCAACGTGGGCCGCTAAATCTGAAACAGCCGAATATCGAATTATATTCATAATATTTCCTTGCCTTACGAAAAACAACTGTAAATTAGTTTTCTGCTAGTTTTAAATCCTTGCAGAGTTACGTGCCCCTTGTTCAACTTTATGTCTACATTCTCCATCAGTTGCGATTTTCATGATAACCACTGTTTAAAGCATCCAATTATCTACAAGTATGGGCAAATAAAAATTCCTCCCAACCTACCCCAACAATTTTATTAAATCTTCAAACAGTCATCACATGGGTGTTTCCTCCCTGGATACCTGGTCTCCCTTGTGTTACAGAAGTACCTACCTAAGTTTAGGCCTGAAATTATAGTAAACAAAAAGTTGAAAAACATATGATACGGTTGGTAGAGCAAGAAGCATAATACGCATTGGGTAGAGCATGAAGCAACCTAAGTATAATAATACACGATAGGTAGAGTAGAGCATAATGCTTCCTTTCTCACATATGGACAGGCTTTTGGGATGAAAGTAGTCTTTGTCTCAAATAAAAAAATAATTAAGTTACAAAGTTGGGTAATCGACCACTTCAATGTCGGATATTCAAAAATTGTGTTTTTACTGGTTTCTTGTATCCCTGCGCTCATTGTCCATTCCACATTCTGGTATACTAACTCTCACTGCTCTCATTCTTAACAAAGACTCTTAGTGATTCAAACACCTTGACAACATTTATTCAATTTTTTTAAAGATTAAGTTGTTATCTGTTGACAATAGCATGTCTTCGGAAGGCGATTACAGGAAGTGGCAAATTTATTGAATATGCACATTGCCACAATAAAAAATTGAACCCTGGGGAACCCCAGTTATTGCTAGGCCTAAACTCGCCCCCACCCAGTCACAGCAAAAATATAAACATGTGCATAAATAATATTAATAGTAGCCCTGCCTAATCCTAATACTATATTAAATAGGGCCTAGTTTAATTTGCAAAAAAATTAAATTTTAATTATATTTAATTATTTTATCAAGATAAAACATTTTTAAAAAGAGTAGCCCCATTTTAACAACTGTTCATTAAACAAAGCAAGTTTATGTCCTTATTTAGCTGGCTTAAGGGGCATATATATAAATGAAGTCAGGCTATTTGGCAGAATTCGGACCCCAACTCATCATATGTAGACACAAAGTGTAGACACCCACCCTCATAATATCATAATATTAATAAATTATTTGGGACACCCCCCCATGATCATTTAGTAATTTAAACTTGGGTTCATTAAATTGTTTAAGTTGTTTCATTTTGCTACATTAATCATAATCCATTTGTTGTTAGTTTTTAAAGTGCGTTGTTGACTTCAACTTAGCATTAAATATCTAAATTATTCTCAGCTGATTACCACCACCCCGTTCTTTGCATTTTCTGGATTAAAAAACTTTCAAATGACTTATAAAATGAAATTTTTTTTATTGTATTTGCTAAGGAATTTTTTTAGGATCTTTATAATTTTTCTTTCAGCAATGGCTACAAGGTTTTCACTCTTCCTAATTTTTCTTGTTGCACAAATGGTGAATTCGTTGGAACCATTTATAGAAGCACAGAATGAAGCACATTGTTTGGAAGAGGCCTGTACCAGTACTTCAGATTCCTCTCCTTTGCCTTCTGATAAATATATTGGAAAGCTAGTTATAGAATCTCCTCAAGATGCAAATGATTTACAGTCTGCAAAAGCTGAATATCTTGATACTGTCAAAAACTCTGATTTAATTTCTGAAACTGTTGAAACTATCTTTGTAGAAAGAAGTTCTGATAATATTGTTTCTGAAATTGAAGAAACCCAAATTAATGGACAAATTAATAAAATATATTCTGAATTGTCAAATTATGGAGAGGAGTCCATACCAGCTTCTTCAGTAAACAGCATAGCTTATGAAGACAATGGAAATATTCTAGAAAGTGATTTTTCTGATCATCCTAAACTTGGTATTTTCCTTCCTGGACAAAAAGAAAATGCAGGAGAAGAGAAATTAGTGGATGAGCAAGAGGCTGAGCCAGCACCAACAAAGCGAAGGTTTTTCCCCCTCCTTTACACATTCAGAACATTGTTTAATTCTCTTTTATCTGAATTCGGGGATGATGCTGCTGGACAGCAAGAAGGAGCTTTTAATGCGTCAGAAACTGCAAATGGAAGCAGAGCAGTGCATGATAAGTTAAATAAAGACTTAAATTCAACAACTAATGGAACTGACTCGAGTAAGAAAACTAGGTTTCAGTGTGCTGTTAAAAACATAACAGCAAATGCTACTGGAGAGGTAAATATGAATAGTTTTCTTTACCTGTGAGTTATATATTGAACAAATAAGTACTAAGATAAAAAGAGGTGTTGTTTTTTTGTAGTTTATTTGATGATAATAGTACATATATTAATTTAAATTAAATTAAATCCTTCTGCTAAACTAATTCTGCTGAACTATAACTATTCACTATAGTTGGATTCGGATTGATTGAGACATCAAATATTTAGCATCTTCTTCTTCTTTCCCTTATTTGTTCTTAGGGGTGCATGTGCCATTCACAAATTCTTTCTAGTTATTTCTGTCTTTTGAGAAATATTCTTTAAATCTCATTTCACTTCTTGCTGGTTCTCTCACTCTGTCTGTTTGAGGTACCTTATCCATTTGTTCTGTTGTCTTCCTATCTTTGTGTTTCCCTATGGATTCAATAACATATCCATGTTTCACATCAATAGAGTAGAACAGACTTATCATTTGAATTGAATAATTTTAATTGGTTATAATTACAAGGTGTTACTCAGTTTTGTTGTTTAATAAATACAATTTGTCCATTTTCCAGGTCAAAATAGTTAATAGTACAGAGCTGTTGGAAATATTAAATTTTAGCAAGAATCAAAAAGTTTCCACATGTGTTCTTGTTATGTTTTATGCTCCATGGTGCCACTTCTGTGCCCGCACTGCACCTCATTATAATGCACTGGCAAGGGCATTCCCTCAGCTAGATATTTTAGCTGTGGATACATCTCATTTTAGCTAGTAAGTGAAATTTTTGCAATCAGAATTTATTATTTAAACTTCTTAAACAACGCTTACTGCCTACTCCATAATATTAAAGAAATTCATACACATCACCGTTATTGAATTTAGAGAGCATCTGGAAATCAATTATAAAGCAAAACTAAACACAAAAAGTTGTGATGTTTAGTTTATGTGTTGCTTAGTTTATGTGTTGCCTTATGGTCAAGATGTGGTAGAAAACTAATATATTCTATGAACTAGTCCAGTGTCTCCCAGAATGTTTTAAGTGTAGACATATTTTCTGGTGTTCTAAAACATTGTGGTGGGGTTCATGGTGTCTGGTCTTAATTCTATTTGCCGTTATTTAATTTTTGTTAAAAATAATATATACCTGAAAATATATTATATATATTATAATATATACAAATTTCTTGGTTTATATTGGTTATAAAAATTACTTTTATATTATTATGGTTCCAAAATTTGTATCCAGAGTTATGCAGATACTCATATTTCTTAACATTTCACACAGCCTTAATGCAAGGTTTGGTACTGTGGCTGTGCCCAACGTGATGCTTTTTCATTCAAGATCTGCTGTACGATTTAACCACACTAGTCGTGTTCTTGAGCACTTTATTTACTTTGTGACTAATAATACAGGTTGGTTGAACAGAATTTTTGCTTTAAGCACACCCAAAATATCATATGAAAACTTTTATTATCTTTTCAGTATTGCTTAATATAAATTTATAAACATATACTTAAGTATTGATAGTTTCTTTTAATTATTTTTGTTGATAGATGCACACTTAAGTAGAGAGCTACCTATAATCCAATTTAGTGGAAGTTTATTAAAAAATATTTTTTTTTAGCATTCCATTTTGCTGTATTCCAATAATATTTGGAGAAGCACCAATATTTTTTAATTGAAAAAAAAAATAGCTTCTATAGTTAGATTTTCTCATTAAAAATTCCAATTAAATCCATTGACAGAACCCTCATATTTTAGGACATCAGAAATCATGGGATTTTACTAAATAATACTTTTTATAATTCATCTTATCCATCAATTGACTAGCCATGTTCAGTATTCATCAACTTAGTATAGTCATAAACAAAGTTCCATTTCATTTACACAGGTCTGTCTCCTGATAAAAATGTGAAGTTAGAGCCCACTGATTTTGTTGGGCCCTTACCTAGCGTAGTGCAGAGAGGCAGAGACTGGCTTCTTTGGCTCTCCTGGGCATTTGTCATCACTTGTTCTGTGTATGGATTTGTGAGGAGTCGGTACGGACAAAGTTTTATTTTACGCCTCAGGGTTTTATGGCAAGAGCATCAGCATATTGAATGATGGATGACTTCGTGCATTGAAAACAGCATCTGGCTGTTCACTGGTTTCACTGTTTTAAAATGTGCAAATGTTTTTATTGATAAGAGTACCTGGTATATGAAATAAATGTGCATGTTACTTTTGATTGGGGCACAGTCCTCGGTGATATGGAGTTTTAACAATTATTTGAGAAAATAACATATAGGATAAAGTGCTGAGAGAAGGTAAATAATTTGTATAAAAAAGGAATAAAATTGACAAAACGAATGTTTTTTGCATGTATGTGTGCTTATTTATATTTATGCCCAGAAGTGTGAATATGTACTTTTGAAATTGTCTAGGGCAGGGGTCTCCAAACTACGACCTGCGAGGCGATTTCATCCAGCCGCCGACGGTATTTTAATTTGCATGATAAAACATATGTTTACCCACAGAGAAGGAAACTTGTTGGATTTCACCGGTGCTAACCAGATGAGTTTCTGAAACTGGAGAACTTTGCCGCTAGTACAGGATCAGTGTTTGGAACAACTTATGTCTGTGAGCAAACATTTTCAAAAATGAAGTATGTGAAGTCAACACATCGAACGAGAGTGACTGATTAACATTTGAAAACAATTCTCTTGATTGGATGCAGCAATTTAAAACTAAACATTGATGAAATCTTGAAAGCCAAACGTCCGTTTCATTAATCTCACTAACTTTTTTTGCTGCTTATTTTGTGATATTTGAATATGTGCACACTAGGTTTGATGTAACTATCTTTTTCTAACGTCGCCTAACTTTTTACAAAATAAATATATTGGTTGTCTTTGTATTTTGTACATTGCACGCCAATCACCCATGATTAACATGGAACACTAAACTTAGTTTTTTGCCTTTTTTTCCAGAGCTTTTGTTCTGGCTTGCAATTATTGTACAGAATGATTATCCGGCCCGCACTTGTCATTTTTCCCGTTATCGGGCCCGCCGTGAAAAAGTTTGAAGACCCCTCGTCTAGGGCATTAATGAGTGAATTAATAATTTTTATATGTTGTGCGATATGGAAAATGAAGAGTAATTTTTAAAGTATTTTGAACTGTGGTTGTTCAGTTAGTACTAAAAAGTACAGTGAAATTCCTAGATTGATCATAGAAAAATAAAAAAAACAATCACACTGAGGATTTTTGAGTTAAGTTTTTAAATTAAATAACTGCTGTATGACAATATCAATAACTATAATTTTTGTGGGATTAGAAATGGATTTTTTAAAATTGCCGGATGAGCTATGGTTCATTTTTAGATGCATTTGTCTGTAGGTCAGCAGTTTCAGAGCTTAGCAATAATTTGATATTTTGAAATATATAAATATATGACGAGCTCCTAAACTTGCATGCTTTTCTTCATCTTTTAGCACAAAATAAAGATTTTCAAAGAAATTGTGTATTTTCTTCAGAATGTAGAAGATTAGCATGTGATCATCATGTGTTTAGAAATAACTGTCAATTTCTTTTTTTATCATGATGCCAGTTTAAGTTACATTTAATTTTTATTAGTAAAAGTATCCTAGCTGTACATATATCTTGGGAAATTTTTTGAAATTGCTTCTAAAAAGTCTGCTAGTGCAAGTTTAACTAAAAAAACATTAAACAAATGCCAGCAGGTAGTCGGACTAGGATTATCCATTAAAAAACATAAGTATGCGCTTAGGGCATTGGATAAAAAGGGGGCACCACAAAAATTCACAGAGAAAAAAATCTAGATTTTATTAACAAACTTTGAAAATATTTTAGTACCGGTACCCATAGAATTGCAGACCACATAATGTCTATCAATCATCTGAAAGTTTAAATTATTTTCAGGACAGTGATTAACGCCAACCTGGAGGGCATACATTTCCTGTTGCACTCTGATTAAATAGAGAATGCCTGGTAATTCAAAACTAAATTAACTAAATTTTGTTATGAACCAAGATGTCTCCCTGGATTTTGAACTTAAAAAAAGTTTTCTGCTGTAATGAAGGGGTTCGATGAAATCTTTGTACAAAGAAGAATTATGCTCTGTTCATAAATTCTAATGATTTAAATGAAACTTCTAGAAGAATGGATTATAAAATATTAGCATGATTAAATTAAAGTAAATATGCTATGAACTATTGACCCCCACCAGGTGTGCGATGCCATCTTACATTAAGAATTCATAAGCCAGCTCTACTGTTGTTGAATGATTCCAGCCTTTAAAAACATTGATGAGTTTATGGAGCACTACTAGCCTTCTGCTGTATTTGATCAATATTACATGGCATTGACACATTCAATGTGAAGTAGCTGCTGCTCCCAGAAACTTGTATTGTCAAGGACAATAAATTGATCACTGCATCATCAGGTGGTTGCCAGTGAAGTGAATTTTTATTCTCTAGAACTAGAACAGCATTTCCCAAATACTGGCTCACAATGAAAGCAAAAATAACAGTTCACAAAAAAAAAAAAATAATGAAAACTTTGCTATTTATTTCCTTATTGTCTAAAATAACGGTAACCAGCATTAAATCGGGACAAATGAGGCAAATATTTGTCCAGCTCATTGTTCACAGTTGACATGCCCAAAACAATGGCACATCTGTAAGAAAGACACAATCATAATGTCCATCATCCATGTTCACCTGCCTGTGCCAGTACCCTATACACTCATACAGTAAGTGTTGAGACACAGTGACAGAGAGCATATATTTATTTTTGTGATACCGGTAACATTGGGGGGAGGGGGGGGGGAATGTTTTATAAATATTTTCAAGAACATGAGTTTAGAATACAAGGCGATGATGAGAATATAAGGCAGAATCCTCAAAAAAAAATTTAGTGGTTAAGTATAAAAATAACTGAGCTACGAAAAAAATTTAGGGAAATACTGTTCTAGAACTAGATCATAGATGCTAGTTTGGAATCACATGTCTATAAGCCAAGTTATAGATGAGTCAATTTACACTATAATAATTATTTTTTTAGACAATTGTTCATTGGTTGATACAGCCAATGGTGGATTCAAGAAAAATAGAGATTATGATAAGAAACGATAGGGTGACTTTATCTGCGAAAAAAATTGGTAAATTCAAATTAAAAAAGATAGTAAAAAATATATTTATAAAGAAATAATAATAAAATTTCCAATTCTTCTACCCTAATTTACCAAAGATTGAATAGGTCAAGTATTTAATGGGAAGCTAAAGCTTATAAGGTATGGTGGGGTGGAGGGGGAAGATACTGCACTTCGGTTAGGCACCAAAAATATGGGAAACAAGGTACTGTATGGGAAAACCTGACAAAATGAACGCAACAATACAACATGACTGAAGCTAAGCACTTGACATTAAATTTTATGATTACAAACATGGCTCATATTTTATTTCATTTCTTTAATGCAAATATCTGTAACCTTGTACAATCCTATTTTGAAAGTAGGAAAGGAAAAAAAATCTTCATGTGCCTATGAGGTAGAAAATATTACTAGATCTAAATATTGATTATTTTTAATGGCAAGTTTCAAAGCTATAAACTCCCCTGCAAGGAAAGATAATTACTTATCAATAAACCCACCTGCAGGGAAAGAATGATGTTTCAATACACCCTACCTACTGCAAGGTAAACATCATCATCATCTCTACCAAAAACCACATATTGATTTTTGTTTAACTTTAAGTTAAAGCATAATTATCATATTGTCTACAGTACATAGTTGTCTTAAGAGGGGTGGAGAATGAAGATGATCATGACATAAAAATGATAGAGTTCCTATCCTTGCAAAAGGTAGATAAACCCAAGTACTATTTCATTACACATTTTAAAAAGACTGCTAGTTTGACACATCTGTAAGGATTGGTGTGCTGGTCGTTTAGTTCTTTGGGCCTGTGAATGGACATGTAGCTTGGGAATTGTTGGGAGGGTCGGGAATATGGTAATGCCCCAGAGTGGAGGGTAGATTAGTATAATGCCATTGAAATGCTTGGGATTTCATTGTAATAAAAAACTTCTAGTCGAATAGAATGGGAAAGTTTGAAAAAAAAGAATAACTGCTCAATAGTAATTTTAAGGAGGTTAATTGAAAATCACAGCACAGCATAATCTACAAAGATTTTGACTTTTATTTTTTAATGTAGTTTGAGAACCCTTCTGATAGATTTATTATCTTTCTGGGTTTACTGATTAATTTGAAGGAAAATTACTTAAAACGCCTTGATGAATCAGTTTATGATAAAATGGTGATGATTGAATGTGCACATGTACACACAATGAACAAGGAATACAAGTTTAAAATTTAGCAACTAAAACAAATACATACCGGTATGTTAAAATCAGCCTTTCTAGGCTATAGAAATTCAGCTACGGTACCGGTATTTATTGTGGTGGTTGAAGGTGATAGCTGGTGACGTAAGAATAAGGACCTTGGGTGGGCATCCCCTACTAAAATATATTTGGGAACTGCTGCTAATATGCTCCCACTTGGCTTTTTGTTTTATTTACCCCACTGGTGGGATGCTTTACCACAATAATGAATATAATTAATTTTATTAATTAGACAATATTGAATTGCAGCATTTTATTTTACCGGTGTGATGTGAGTGCTGGTCTCACTAGGTCGTTTTGGCTATAAATTTCTTTAGAACCCATAGTATTCTCAAACAGTATGGCCAAAACATGATATTTAAATATGGTCTAATAAAATCTTTAAAAAAATTATTACTATTGTAAAAGAGGGCATTTACCTATCATTATCACTTATATCAATTTATTACATCTAGACCAGTGTTTCTCAAACATCACAGCAGGGACCGGTGCCAGATTTATAAATGAGAATTATATATTGTCTTTTTTAAATGTTTCACCTTTTGGTGGCTGGTGTCATCTCTTTGAGAAGCACTGATCTAGACTGCCGGTGCTCAAGTATTGTCATTCAATGTAAAAGGTACATGATCTAAGCACCAAACTCATAACATATATCTAATATATAGTTACTTGGTGTAGCATGAGGAACTAAGTTGCGTGATTATATTACTATTCACCAAGAAAATATTCTTGAAGATTTTGCACTTTTACTTAAGTATATTTATAGTACATGCCTTAGCAGCAGGATCTCTAATGAAGGAGACATTGAGATAAATCTAAGGAGTTTGGAAGGCTATATATATGGTTTGTCTTTCGTATGCAAAGACGACTATGGCTTGAGTACCATAGTTACCTTGTCTTGGTCTGTATTTTTTTGAAAGTGAAGGAGAGTTGCTCAATTTGTTAGACTCACTCATCCTTGCCTATTTGATCCAATGGCAAGACTAGGTCAATACGACTGGAAATATACCAGGATGCAATGGATGACCAGCAGTGTTTCTTGGTACCGGTATCACTGTGTTCTTTATGCTTTCCACGTCCCAGGATTTGCCAAAATTTTCATTGTGACAATGTCATACCGCCTAAGGGACTTCATCTCCGGGTTTGATTTCAACGTTTGCCTTATCTTAGATGAGTGACCATACAAGGTTAACAAGTCCTATCCAGCCAAGGTGCTAGTGTTGTTTAAACTCTATTTGTTCAGTGCAAACTGTATATATATATATATATATATATATATATATATATATTAATATTACACATCACTGCCGTTGAGACAAGAAAATTGTAAAAAAAATTGCCTAGGTGCTGACTTTATTCCATAAAAATTAAAGTTGACAAGAGAAAAAAATGTGGATCAACTAATGTGATCATGTATGGAAGATGAAGAAATGGAACTCAAAGACTGGGAAAATATTGCTGATCATTCCATGTTATACTATGATGCTACCAAAGGGAGAGAGGAAGCAAGAAAGACATCAGAATACTTTGAGGGAGACATCTCAAAGTGAACCCAATAAATATTAGCTGTAACGCTATTGACAATAAGGTGGCAAAGAAAGCTGTTGTTCAAATAACCGCCCTATGCTCTACACAGATAACAAGGCTAAGGACTGTGTTCAGTTTGAAATTGAAAGATCACAAAACAAACAATTTTTTTTTATATCTCTTGACACTGCTGGTTTCCCTGGCTTGAACTACTTGAGGTAGATTATATTTATTTACATTTTCAGTGCATAAAAACTGCCACCTAATTACTTTGTTCACTTGTCTCAAATGGTACAGCTATAAATTGCTGAATAATGGCTAACCTTGCCCAGTTAACAGGTCTAATTTGATATGATCTTCCTCTGTAGCAGCAGCTTGATAAATGTTGTCACATTTTTAAAATCAGATTCTTTAACAGAATTCGGTTACATTAAATTATCTAAACTTGGATCATACTGCTGTCCTTTTTCTGAAATAATCTTTTTCCACAGCATTCAACAAGTCTGGAAGTAAACTGTCAAGGACATTCATCCCTTCGTCTGATGCACACAGTCCCCTGAAATAAAGTATATGTATCTTACTTAAAGAGGTACAGCAATACTTTTTAATTTGAGTGTAAACAAAAAAATATATAAAAAATGGTTTTAATTTGAACTTGAATCATCTAATTTTATGCGACTATGTCTCAGTGGATCTGAAAAAAAAAATGACAGGGTGCCATTAAATTATGACACAGTGTCAAATATGGAAAAAATGATGTTTGGCTTGCTAAATTTTTAATCTGTATGTATAATTTAACAAGCTGAGACACCAGGGTTGGGCCCCAAAAAATTAGGTTATATTTATTTAGATTACCATTTATTGATTTTATCTGAAATTAAATAAGTCAAATGTTATTTACATAATTAATGAAACAGTGTGAATTACTCCAATTTTATATGTGTGGTATATTTATGAATTTAAAAAAAAAAAATCATGGACGCTTGAGTAATTTGTTGACACATGAAGTTGGAAGGTATATGTGAAAACCTGCAGATCAACCATATTATTTTTAACAGTTAAGAGGAATAGTTGAATTTCATTATGAAATTTTCATTTAGAATAACTAGTTAATGGACATCAAGCATGAAAAAATCCATGGGTCCATTGTAGCTGCAAGGAGATTTGGGTCAAATTGTAATTTTGAAAGGTGGCACTTTAAAATGCTAAATCTGGAAAAATTATTTTATCCTTTTCATGAACCGTACCATTTTGCACCATGAGGCAGTTTGATGTTTTCAAACATAATATGATCGATCTGTTAAAACAAGTCCTCACATTTTTGGGGCCAATCAATATTCAGGGAAATGAAATTCTCCCAGTTAACTGCTATCTGAGACTGCCACCGCCTTACCCACATTTAAATTGAAAGTTTAAATGTACAGTCAACCAATGACTGTGGCTGGGGGATAAATGTGACTGCACATCAAAGTGAGATGTGATATTGGAAGTTTTAAAAATTAATGCCCTGTACCAATACCTAAAGTTGAAAATTTGTGCACAGTTAATCCATCAATCCATCTTTTACAAATACTTTTATTTACATTACTATTAGTGGCCAAATTTCCTTGACTTTAATCCAAAATTGCACCGAATCGTTTTCTTATACTAGTAACTAGGAATAAGACATTTGCCTTTGTCTGACATTCTTACCACACCTGTCATTAAATTTGAGAAGTCCCTTTTGAACAAACAACTGGACCTTTGGATCATCAAAGAGCACATCTTTCATACAACTCGCTGGTTCGACATTAGACCATTCCTACAAGACAATGTATGATCTTCAGTGAATATATACATAAAAATGAGAAATATGTAATGAATAAAATTCATAATAAAATAGTTGAGCTATTACACAGATTATGATGCCTATTGCCACAGATGAGTATTTAAATATATCATTTAAAAATAATTTAAATGATTTAAAATAATTATTTAAAATATGAGCTAAAATAATTGAAAAAAAAACAACTAAGATACAAAAAATAATTTGATTGGTTTATTGGTATGGAGTCAAACATAGTTCTTGAAATAATTTGGTAAAAAAATGTAAAACGTACCCTACTAGAAACACCTTTTTTAGTTCGCAGCCCTACAGACAAGAGTTCTTCTAACCTAAAATATAAAACAATAAACAAAACACTTGTAGCACGAAGAAATGGACACTTCTAAACCACAATTTTAACAAAATAAAATAATTTATAAAACACATTTTTTGAAAACTTATTCAAAATATATTTCTGAAAATAGAATTTCTGGATTATGCATGAAATGTAAATATTATATGGCAACAGTAACTCACTGATTTTGAGGATTTAATTGTTTTATTTTGCGTGTGGCATGGCCAAATTTTTCAACTTCCCACATCCAGTCATTAGGTTCCAATGTTTGTATTCTTGCCTCTCTATGGTCTTTATTAACTGGTTTGAATCTACCATGGGCTCCTACAAAGTGATATTTTAAATAAAAATATATTGACACAATATTTTTTTAAATATCTAAAGTTAGAAAATAAAATATACTAAACTATACTATTAATTTGGTTTATTATTGCATTTTTTTTTTTAACAGCGCTTCTTTATAATTAAATTTCCATGTTCTGAAATCTATTTTATGTTGTGAATTAAAAAATAAAGATTATATGGGCAATATTTTTTATGTGAGATAGTAGGGATAGTAATTAGTAATAGTACCAAAAAATATTTGAAACCAAGAAACATTACCCGGTCCAACTCCAATATATGCCTGGCCCGTCCAGTAGGATATATTATGATGGCTGTAGCATTTCTAGCGTTAGATTGGATGAGAGAATATTCAATATTTCTGCAATTAAACTATTAATATTAATACTATTATGGTACAAACCTTCTTACATGAGGATAATTAGTATCAGCGAAGACTTATTGATGAATCATCTTATGCACTCAGAAGATTTAACAAATACCAGTATCGAATACCACTTTGAAGAAAGAACAACAAGAAACACAAAGAAAGCAAATAAAGTAAATGGTCTTTCCACATAATGACTAATGACAAGCTTACAGTTTCAGATTCAGATTTCAATACAGGTACTAAATGCAAAACATTGGACTTTGCCAACAAATTCTTACCTGCTTTGCAAAATTGGAAACTTCATATCTTTCAAATCCGTTGTTATTTAAGAGCTGGAAATTGTAATTTTTTGCAGTTTCTTAATATTTTAAGAGTGATGTATATTATTATATGATGGCTAAGAAATAAAGATTTTAACTTTAATCATATCAAAATCATAAAGAAATTTTAAAAAAACTACTATTCAGAACATGCTGACATTTCTTTGCCGGCGTATAGGACGCAATTTGTCCACCCCTCAAAATATGCCCAAAATATGGCTCGCGTCTAATGGTTATGGTACTAATGATGTAGCTATAGACCCTTCTATAGTCATTATTACAAAGAACTTTGATGACTGTTATATTTTTTGTTAATCATACAAGTCTGCTCTCATATTTGCACCAGTTTAAACAAATACTACTAATAGAGATATTTCATCATTTACCTCTACAGCTTGGAGGTACATATCTTCAGAAACTTGTTGCTCTACAGGTGACTGAAACAGTAAAAAAATACTTATTGATAGTACCGGTATCCAAAAGCTTTCTTATTTAGACTAATTCATTGATTGAAATCCATATGGAGAACATTATATTTTAGATTTTTTATATGAATATATGACATAAATTTGATAACTTTTCCATGGAAACAAAAATTATAAACATTTCAATTTCAGAGGAAGGAAGTCTCAATTTAAAAGATTTAAAATTTCATTAATTAAATCTTTATGTTCAAACATTCATTTAAATTGAATGAATATTTTTGTGTGGACATAAGGTAGTCTTGATGGTGTTACTGTCTTTAATGTCATAAGTAGAAGGAAATGTGTTATTGTAAAGTAAAAACCTACTAAATGTCCCTGATGAATTTGCTTGAAGAGATCTGTCCCCCTCTCTAGTGTTAATTGATATAATGAAATATGATAGTCACAGAGATGGAGCATCTGGCCAAATGGAAAAAAAAGTTACATGTTATTACAAGGTTAAATTAACATTCCAAATTAGAATGTATTTTACTGAGGTCAGTCAACAATTTTAAAGGTAACCTTAAAAGTTAAAGAACTAAACATTATAATTAAATATTATGAAGTACTTGGAAAAAAAAGAACAATTTTAAAATAACACAATAATGTAATATTACTAATTCTCAAGGATCTTTCAAGGCTATTGTATTTCTGGTTATTGGTTTTGAAACTATAACCAGCTATGGATTTTAATAAAAGGATAATCAAATTGTTTTAATAATTTTGAAAATAGATTTCAAGTACCGATACCACTTAAATAATATCATGTCAAACTGGACTAACCATGCAGATCAGTTGGAAATAATTTATAATACCTGATAACTGGTTTAAAATCAGATTCCTAAAACCTATAAGTGGTTTGCGCACAAAAAAACACAAAAAAACCACTTAGGAAATATGTACGGTAACCAATTATTATAATCTGTATCATTTTAATTTGCATTTAATGTTCAAGATTAGGAGTACAAGTAAACAACATTTACCTCTTGAAGCTCAGATAACCATGAGGACAAAGTCTGACCTGGCCAACCATAAATTAAATCTACTGACACGGAACTGGGGAATAAACACTTTGCCATTTCTAGACATCTGTGGAATAAAACATTGTGGAGTACTTCTAGACTCATGTTACCCGGTACAATGAGGCTTTTAATGCTAAATGAACGCTGGTATTAGTTTTTCCGCATGTTCAATGAGTTTGTTGCAAGTCCATTACCACCTTTTTCAATTGCTACCACATTTTGGTATAGATTATTCATTACTGTAAAATAATATTTTTTCAATACGAATGGTGCACTGTAATTTATATTAATGCATATCACAAACATAGCTTTGGCTTTAAAAATGACAGAAAAAAGAACAACAGAGCAATAAAACGTGCGCTGAGTAACATGGTGTTAAGTGTTTGGTGAACTCTTACCCCAAAAATGGAATGCCTTGCCTCTAAATTTAAAACTTTGCTTAAGTCCATTGTTTAAATTTACCTTAGGCTCTCCTCAACAGAATGGTCTCTGCCAAGTAAATTTAAACCGTATCTGTCTAATGTCTGTATACCAATGGAAACTCTGTTAATACCAGCATCCTGGAAATCCCTAAATGGTTATCAATTTCACGTGAATAATGTGGGGAAAAAAAGGAGTTTATAACCTTAGATCTCATCATCTTGTAACTTATATTAAAAGATGTATATATATACACCAATAAACAGATTCAAATTTTGCTACATTACTAAAGTAGGTTTGAGATCAATGCCTCGAGTAATGATCACAATTGATTCTTTAAGTTTTACTTGAGTTTCTCCAGCTCAAGAGAAGTTGGGTTTATTTCCATGCTGATTTCTGCAGTGGGCTGGACAGAGACCCGGCTCTTGATATCCTCCATGAACATTTTGATTGTGTCTGGGTGGGCCAGGCTGGGAGTGCCTGAGGATGTCACATGAACATTTTGATTGTGTCTGGGTGGGCCAGGCTGGGAGTGCCTGAGGATGTCACATGGAAAGGTTTGAAAGGCTGAGGCGAAGTGTTGAAGTGTATTTAGATAAATAAGTAATTTAAAATTATATCAGTCAAGTTTACTCAACCCACACTTGATGTTTTAAGTACAGTAGACGGACACAGCCCATATTACATGATGTCAAGTTTACTCAACCCACACTTGATGTTTTAAGTACAGTAGACGGACACAGCCCATATTACATGATGTCAAGTTTACTCAACCCACACTTGATGTTTTAAGTACAGTAGACGGACACAGCCCATATTACATGATGTCAAGTTTTCCCAATAAAAACTTCTCTACAACAGCTGTAACTAAACACATTGATTATTAATAATACTCCATCAAAACATAACCCTCTTTTAAACACAGCTCTAATGTCTAAAGGTAATGATGTAAGGATTGATTTCAAACTATAAAACTCAACTCGAGTCTTAAGATATAGAACGAATATAATGTAAGCTATACCGGTAACTGCATTTATTGCAGGGAAAAAAAGGAAAAAACAAAAACAAAACATTTAAATGTTACAATAATATTTTAAAAATAAATAATTGATGCAGATAAAAATTTAATTATTTGAATTAGAGTAAATTGAATCAAATTGTTTCAAGAATTACATACTCTTTTAAATGGTAAAGGTTTGTTACAATTGATGAGCCATTGAATGTACAGGCATTTAGAATAAGCATATTCATAAGATGACTATCCCTTTAAAACTTATTTGATTTAAGTGGCATCTTTTTCAGTAGCATTAGATTAGATTTTGAGTCCTTGCCACAGGCCCTTAATGTCACATTGGAGATGGCGTTGGTGGGTCGTCGAGCGCGAGCTCTTAATACCCCCCCCCCCAACCGCTCACCTCCACACGGGCCGACGCCGGGTCTCCCCACCGCCAGACACACATTGGAGGTGGCGTTGGTGGGTCGTCGAGCGCGAGCTCTTAATCCCCCCCCCCCCCAACCGCTCACCTCCACACGGGCCGACGCCGGGTCTCCCCACCGCCAGACCATGCTCGGGAACCTCCCCCCTGGCCCCCAGTCCGTTTGACTGAAAACGCTGCATTTAACGCGTTCGCGGTCCACTCTCCTTGGGTCTGCACGGCTTTGGTTCCTCTCTGGGGGAAAGGTGTTGCGTCATCTTCCCCCACCGCCCAGGGAGTTGTCCGATCGGGACGAAAGCTGGGACGCAACGGTCGCCTTGGAGCAGCTTTCTCAGGGCCGTGTAGCTAAAATCATCGGCAAGGGTTTTAACCGCCACCCAGGGCTCTTATCCATTAACGGCAATAAGCAATCATGTTATTGCGTTACTTCCGTTGCGTTGGGAGTCGTGCAAGTGGCCGGGGTTTTTGGCTTCGGGAGAAGAAAGCCTCCCTACTAGTCTGGCACGCCACGAAGAGGCAAACCCCATGTGACACCACCAAGTCGCCTCGGTGGTGCGGGTCCCTGACCTAGAGGCGTTTGGTCACAGTCACCCTGCCACAGGCCCTTAGTAATGGCCTTACAACATGTTTACCATAATATGACAATGAGTTTGACTCATGAGAATAATCATCAGCTGTTATTAAACTGCAAACAACATTAACACATCTGTAACGATGATAAATAATGAAACACAATATTGTTCAGCATATTAATATATACCCGGTACATTTTAAAAAGTTGTTTGTTATTAATTTAATGGTCTTATCTATTTATGTTGTAGTCGAACATGGCACTTAAAAGCAAAACCATAATTACAATATTTTAAAAATTATTTTGAACCCAAATGTCTTACTGCTGGTAATCTCTCATTTTTTGTGTGGTTTGTTTTTTGTTTTGTTTTGCATATTTCTTACCTCCACCAAAAAACACTGAGGTAATTTCTTGAACTCCTGATAAAGTGAGAAGTGTTTGTGCTTCCTTGATAAGACAAAGCTTCATGCGATTATGATCAACTAGTTTGCTGAAGATACAAACATGAATGATCTTATCTACATGAGTCAACAGTGTAAAATTAATACATAAATAAATGCAATGTCATATTTGATGGGACCGAATTGTGTCTTTATTCCTTTTATTTTTTATTTAGAAGCTTAGGTACCGGTGCCTAGATTGTTATTTTAATACTAGTACTGTTCCATAAAGTTAATAATCAAAATGACACAATTTAAACTACTTGAAAAAAAATGGATTGTTAATCAGTGACAGAGGCGTGGTACATAGTTGAGATTTTATTTGTAACATACATATTGAGTGAAGAATTCGAAGCATATTTTTTCCATCCATAACCTGTCAAATCAATTCTGCCAAATCAGCAGTACCAAAAATCCCACACAAACAAAATTATTTGATATCTGTCATCACCTTTTGTAAATAAACATTCTGTACTGTAACAAATGGGTCACATTCTCTTTGAAATGAGAATGCAGAATATTCATATGATTCTTTATGGACTCGGTAAAGCTTGGTGTAATGAGGGCATGCAGGATATCATTTTTCAAATTAGTATACAGTAGGGTGACCAAATCATGAACTGGACAAAACGGGACACTTTCATGGTCTTTTTTTTTTTTTTGGGGGGGGGGGGGGGAGAATACCCTCCCCCTAAAGGGGGGTCCGGGGGCCTCCGCCGGAAACTTTTCCTTGAAATATGCGCATTTAATTCTGAAATCTAACCTAGAAATCTACTTGGGGCTTTATTATTTTCCTATGTCATATGTTTTACTTATGTGATGTGTTGTTTTATGTCTGAACGTCCACCATGACCAATACTAAAACCACTATTGCAAACTGTGCAGCCGGCTTCACTTTCATAGCGTCCCATTTTAATATAGCTCCCCTCTTTTGAATACTCCTCCATAGACTTACAATGACGCTTGGGCGTAAGTATTGTCTACATGAGAATAAAGTTCAACACCCAAAACAAACACCTACCCCTCTGACACGAACAGGCCGACAGGGTCACACGCACAAGACTAACAAATTACACGTAGCGGTAGCAGAATCAAAATTGGTTTCTGCGAAGTTACAATCCTCCCCCCCCCCCCCGGCGGCTTCAAGTCTCGTGTCTTTCGCTATACATTTACTTATAACATCTATGGCAGGGACACTATGGTGGAGGGGGGAACAGTTCGGCCATCACGCCAGCCCACATCACTGGCTACACAGCTAACCAAAATATTACTTGAAGTTATTTTTATAAAATTAGTATTAGTGATTTGAAAATGTGTTTGGTTTAAAAAAAACGGGACATTTAGGCGTCCCGAGAGACTTTTGTTTCGGGACAACGGGACATCGATCGTGAAAAATGACGTTTGGTCATCCTAGTATACAGTGACTTAATTCATTCTAAAGAACATTTGAAGAGTTAATATTAAGCTATCATTCAGAAGCCTGATTAACCCACAGAATATTTATCAGATCCTAATAGGTCAGAGGAGTCAGACATCTGTAACAATCTAAAGAGTAGACTTTGTACTTTGCACGATCTGATCAATTTTGATGTGTGCGAACTATTCATAAAAAAATATTATCAGGGCTGAAGGAAACAAAACAACAGCTTTGTGCAATATGCGTATTTATCTTACAGATACTTGGACTGAAGTTGAAGTATTTTGTAACAAACAGTTGAGTGGACTTGAGATACGGCATTCGGTAATAATATACGACAGACTAAGCGTAGGTGTAAGAGCTTTTTAGAGTTGAGAGAAACTAATTTTGCTTTCTATCTTGAAAAGTACCGGTACCTAACTTAAAATTAAAGTTTTATAATAAAACGTTATATAAAGGTTTATTATTATTCATTCAATAAAATTAAAACCAGGAAAAATATTTAAAAAAAACAACAACAAAAAAAAACAACGTCAACAACAACAAAAAACCAGGAAATGGAGTGTACGACATTTTGAAAAAAAAGAGGTGTTGAAGTGCTTCAGTAATTAAGAAGCACTGAAATAATGCAATTACTGTTTCAAAGTAAAGCTTTGTATCACTAAAAATTATCAGGGGTTACAAGAATGGTCTCATAAAATACAACAGGGAAAGAGTTTTATAAACAAATTTAATGAGCCTCTGATCTTTGCACTGAAAGCCGTAATGAGTTAAATGATTAAGTAGGGCAGTGACAAGGCAGGTACGCGAACCTTGATTGTCAACACATTCCATCACATTTATTCTGTCAGACCACGGAGCCTATTTTTTTTTAGCCTCTGAACTTTGTCCTTGACTCTAACCGTATCTTGAGCCCAAGTGCATGACACAATAATGTTGAAATGTTAGCAATACATGTTTTATCTGGACTTCTTGCTCTATGTCTATGTCAATAATAACTTGAAAATGACAAACTAAAATATATATTATTTTATTATAATACAACTAATATAATTATTTATATTTTGATTCAGAGAAGTGAAGTGATTATCTTGTTTTTTTTAAAGAATCTCTCAAAGTTACACACAAAGAACGAAAAGCATAAAAGCTGCAAAAAACATTCGACCCGTTCTTAAATTGACCAGCCATTTCGCACTTTGGTCGATAATACCGATGTACTTGAAAGGACCAGTGCATATGCCACTTTGACCAGCTGTTTCGCCAAGTGGAATGAAATCACTAGCCAAAAAGTCATGGTACTGACCAGTGGCGTAGCTAGGGTTGGTGTCACCCGGTGCGGTAAACTCATGGTGTCACCCCCCCACCCCCCCCCCCCCCCCCCCCCCTTTTTAAAA